TGGCGACTCTTGCTTCCGCGACATTTCGCGAAACCAGCTAAAAACAGTCAGTTCTCATTTCCACCGATCACATGTATCGAGGAAAGAAATATGCTTGAACCTTTGCTTAGGTCGTTTTGATTCTCCTTTGATTTGAATGCATCGTCGAATTAATTGAAATCTACCATGCCCCTGGTTAAGATTAAGGTTTTTTTATATAAAAATAACAAAACTCCAACTCCTGGCTCGAGGGGGTTAACTACAGATTATCTCCTTATATCTCCATTATTTGGGAAGTGAAACAATGCCTTACATCGTCAGCTAAGCTTTACCATTAAAAAGCACACGTTAGCAAAATTTTATTATTTAGTTTTCTTCATTCTCCATCGAAGTTTGTTAATTTTAAAAAATGGAAAAAAGAAGAGTGAAAATGGAAAGTCGTTGATTATATGTGGAATGAATCGATTTCAAAAACATGCATGCTTATTTTATTAGAATTACTTGACCAAAGAGTACAAAGTTTATAACAAATAACACTTAGCAAGAAAGAAATTACAATTTGAAATGATAAAGGCCTAATGATCTTGGGATAAGCCTTCTTGTTGGCCCGCTGACTTTAGGGGATTCTTCTTTAGTCTTTGGATTTGTCAAGGCAAGGGAGACCATTCGTCGATGAGACTCTTTCTTCAAAAGTCAACTACTTACTTTCGATCAAATTTTGGACCTTGTATCTGTAAGCCCAACATTTTTCTAGGGCATGCCCTGGAGAATTGGCATGATACTCGCACCTTGCATTTGCATCATATTTTGGTGGGAGTGCCCCGATTGGAGGAACAAGTGGCTTCAGCTCTACCAAGGATGCCTTGAGTAAATGTTGTAGCAGTTGACTATGCGGAATGGGAAGTGGATCAAATCTCCTAGGTGATAGATTTTGTCTTTTCCTTTCTTGGGCATATCCCTTATGTTGATAAGGTCATTTTAGTTACTGTTGAGGTGGGGGAATTTCCCATGGTGGCGACATATGTGGTGCTGAGTAGGCCTGCGGCTGGGATGACAAAGGGTTACCTCTATTCCTCAGTAATATTTCCAGGATCAAGTTCATTTGAGTCTTCAATTGGTGGACCTCCTCCTTTAACAGTTCTTGGCCTCTCGTGAGTTCTTCCATGGCTTCTTGATACATGCCTTGAGTTCACTTGCGAGTATCGACACTCTTGCTAGCTGGATCATAGTTCGATAAGGGTGGAAGCATAAATGATTTTGTGAAAATGGATGGAAATGTAAATGTATGAAAATGCTTGGGTATGCCAAAACATTTTATGCTTTTAGGTATGCAAAAAAGTTTCATGGATATGCAATGCGACATAGATGTAGTATGATGGTAGACGTAGGGGTAACTTATACATGTTTGATGATGATATCCTACTCTGACTCAGAAATTGAGACAGGAAGAGACTCCTTACAGATGAAGATGATAATTGATGATATCCTACATTGTCTTAGAGATGGAGACAAATTTTTTTTAAGGATTATTACAAATGAAAGACGACGAGGAGTCACTAAAGGAGAGGGATGATGATATAGACAAAAGCCCTACGGGCTAAAGATAGTAGTGGATGAAGAGATGACCCTTTCGGGTTTACAGATTGTAATGGAGTTTCTGAAAGGTAGCTTCTTAGTATTGGCCTACAGATATTCTACGCTCCCCATATGGTGGTTTCCTTAAGGGTATCATGAATAACACTAGAGGGAAAGGCACAAGGGCCTCCCTTAAGCGAAGTCTCTTTATAGACTGAAAATTTCGTCTCTAGGTCATGAAAGGTCTCACCACGAGTTTTTGGTTTAAAGGTCATACAAAGAGTCATATGTGTCATTACAAAGTCCTACTTCCCAAGAGGATGTCTCTCGAAAGGTATTCCTTTTACGGAATTCTAACGACTCTAGGCGAAGTCTTCACATAAACTCATAGGGTTGATGTAACCCCTTGGCTAATAGACGAACCTTCTTTCTAAGGGTTTTTGAAAATAGTTTTTGCAAAATTTTAAATCCCACCACAAATGAATAAACATAATAAATAATAAAAATAAAATAAGAAATAAATAGATAAATAAATAAGAAAGAATAAAACCAAAAAGAATAAGAAAAACCCTAAAATCTAAAGGAGAGACTTCTAAACCTAGGGTTGAGTCCCTAACAGAGTCGCCAACTATTGCAACTGGTTTTTAAATCAGAGTCGCCACCCTTAATTGTTATCCTAAAGGAAGGGAGTATAAAGGAATAACCATAAAAGTTAGAGATTCTAGATTTGGACTCGATTCTAGACGAGGAAAAGGTGTTAGGCATCCCTTATCTACCATCTTCACAAGGATACTAGGTTTGGAAGCGCGATGTTTAGGAAATAGGGTTTTTAATTATAAGGGAAAAAGGGTTTTAAGTCTTAATAGGGTAACTCGCCACAATTTTAATTGTATGCCTACGTATCCTCTTATGAGGAATTAGAGTCTCATTTCGTAGTCTGCGGTTGGCTTGTGTTTTTTATGGATTGCGAAATATATTTGAATTTCCCGCATACATAGTCTAGAAGTGTGAATAGTGGAGTTTGTTTAGACCAAGTGCGCAGTTGATTTAAATATATTCACAATCCCTTTTGAAAATTGGTTGCTGGATTAATTTGATTTGAAAAGTGATTTGGCGTTTGTTGAATATTTTTTATGTATTTAATTGGTCGAATATGGTAAGATACGGAGCGGGTAGAGTCTGATATAGCCTCCTCATCACGTGGCCAGATATTGGCCACATGTATCTCGCAGATGTAGTAATTTGGTGAATTGCGCGGGTTTTAATATTTTGATGTAAAATATTAACTCAACTTATATTGTAAAAAATATCTTTAAGCGCATGATTAAAAGAACAATTTAATGCAATGATAAAAATATATTTTTTACTTATGAGTTGAGAATAATTAATTTGAATTATAATAATAAATATACTATTTAGAATATAAGTAAAAATATAAAAAAATAATAATTATAATAAAATAATAAAATAAAAATAAATTAAAAAATGTGGGGGTGTAAATATAATTGAAGTAGCAAAAGGTACAGGTGCTAATAGAAAAGGCCTGAATTCAGTTTGTTGAATTCAGGCCCAAAAGGCCAGGTGGTGCGTTTTTTAGACTAAGTAGTAAAAGGGGGGTGTAAGAAGCCAAGGGCCTAAGTCCAGATTTTGGACTTGGCCCGTTAGCGCTGGAGGTGTGTTTCCTAACATTCGTAGCAAAACAAAAGATAAGGGCGCACAATTAAAATTGGGATTAGGCCCAAAAGCGCTTGGGAGGGGACTGTTAGTCAGCGTATACGCGGTTGTAGGATAATATGGTGGGGATGCATTTTGGAACGTATGATGGAGATCATATGGTTGTGATTTGAGGGAGTATGGTCACTATCATGAATGTGCGCGTACATGATACAATATATTTTATTTTACAAAGAAACAAAATTTATTCTATTATTTCTCACCCTCTCTTCCACATTTATACCTTCTTCCGCTTCTGCCTTCTCCCTGCTTCTGGCTTACAACGCAAACCCTAGCGGCCGCGTTATTTCTTCCATCTCTAGCTGTGTTTGCGTCTCTAGTTTTCTGATTTCTTTCTTCTTCATTCTTTGTAGGTACAGTGGTGATGTTTTGTAGAAGGCGGCGGTGGTGTGATGGTGACAACGGTGATGATGCGACTTCTCCAGAGCTTTCAGATGAAGCGATAAAGCAGATCATGGTGGATTTGTGTTTCGCCAAAGGGGGTGGTGTACGGTACGCTTGCGTTGGATATCGGTGATGGGAGGATGAAGAGAGGAGACGATGACACAAAGGGTGAAGATAGCGGCAACGAGATTTGGGATTTAGGTTTATGTTGTCATATCTTCTCCTCTACTGTAATTAATTTTGTATTTCTGTAGATTTCTTCTTGTGTATACTATCCTCCTCGTTACCCCCCTCCATTTCTGTTCTGTAATCTCCCCTCCTCTTACCCTTTTGTAACAATTTTGTCTTTATAGTATTTTTAGGGATTATAATTTAGGAAATAGATTAATGTATTTGTATTTTGGGATTTGATTTTTGGAAGTAATAACTCTGTCATTATTTATGAGATTAATGGATTGTTTTGATTCTGATTTGATCTGTATTAATTAAAACCAATGAATGCCAATAACATTCGTTTCTATTTTGAGCTTTGTTTCCGTATCCGCTTGATTTTATTTCCGAAAAGCTTATTGTATAGCTGATGAAGAAGATATGCTTCTGTATTGGATATGGATTTGCACATATTTTTTTGAATAAGGAAAAGAAATTATTAAGTTCAAGATTTGGTTTCAAATCAGGCGTTGTTGCTTTGGGCTTTGGGCTTGTAAATGGTCCGTATAACACTAAAACCGAACGGGCCTTTAAACAAAAAATGAAATTAAAAGAATAATGACCAAAAAGAAGAAGAAAAACTAATTAGTGATAATAAGATAACAAAATCAATCTTTTTTCCAAAAAACCGAATGGGTCTCCATATTGGGTTTAAAAAAACATTACTTCACCTATTCTTCAAACCATATTCAAAAAAACCTAAATGGGCTTCATATAAAAAAATGTGTCCACACCTCCTTTAAAAACAAATACACCCATTATTATTTTGAAATGGACCTCTAGAAACCTAATGGGCCATGAGATATTGATGGTCCATTTTGGGTCAATCACGCCCCTCTTCCATGTTTTACACCCTCATAAAAATAAAACCATATAATGCAATTTATTTAAATAGAACCCTAAATAAAGGTAGGGCAAATTTGAGATATGACAGAACCCTTCTTCCTTGGCTGCCTTCCACTCAAAGATGTCCTCCTCGTCTTCACTAATAACAGCCTCGGTCAGCAGGTGGCAGAATTCTACAATCAGCTAGTCTGCATTAGTTGTAATAGTGACAAATTTTGTTGATTCAAAATTCAAAACACCCTCAATCTGAGACCCTTCTTCAGCAACAAACATTAACGGCGCCACTGCAAAACCGTACAGTTCCAGAAAGGCTTCTGAAAGGGATTAATTACCAATCCACCCGCTAAACCAAAAGGAAGTAGTTTCCCCATTTTTAATCCTGCAATCAATAAAATCAAAAGAAGAAAAAAAGCTTATCTTGAGCCTTCACAATCATTAATCAAAAGTAAGTCTCGCCACCAAATGGAACCCATTTTCGATATCACCCTCTTATCATTAACAAACATCCTAGCCTTTGGATTATGGTATCTATAGTTCAAAAGGCTTCTCCATAACACATTATCCTCCTTAAGAATATGCCACGTTCATTTCATCAAAAGGGTCGTGTTAAAACACTCGACATCCTTAATATCAAGCCCCCCTTGAGACTTATCTTTGCACACCTTACTCCAACTAACCCAATGCACACATCTTTTCCCTTCTTCACCCCTCCAAAGAAATCTATTTTGAATACTCCTAATTTCTTGAATCACCTTTTTAGGAGCTCTATAGAAAGCCAACGAGTACAAAGGTATAAAATTAAGAACCGAATTAATAAGCACCACTCTCTCGCCTAAAGAAAGAAATTTTCCACTCCATTTTGATAGCCTTGCTCTCACGTTCAAAATAACATCTTTCCACATAACCCCCTTCCTCGGACTATCACCCACCTTGACTCCCAAAAATTTAAACGGCAAAACACCAACTCCACAAGCCAAAAATGAAGACGCCATATATAACATTCCTTCATTAATGTTAACACCATAAATGTTTCTTTTGCAAAATTTCACTTTCAAACCCGACATGAGTTCAAAACCTCTAAGGATAGATTTCAAGCTCCACAAGTTATCATTCCCTTCATCGCTAAAGATTATTGTGTCATCCACGAATTGAAGGATATCCATATAATCATTTACTCCATAATGAAACCCCCTAAAGTCCCCTATATCCACCGCTTTCTCCAAAAGTCTAGTTAATCCTTCCATCACTATAACGAACAAGAAAGGTGAGATGGGGTCTCCTTGACAAAGGCCTCTTTCAACCTTGAAATCCACCGTATTTCTACCATTGACAATCACCGCCATAAAACTCGAGAAAACACACGCTTCCATCCATTTAAGCCACTTCGCTTCAAAGCCCATCTTGGCCATCAAGTATCTCAAAAAATTATGACTTACACTATCATAGACTTTCTCATTATCCACCTTTAAAACCAAACAACTTCTCTTCTCCCTCTTAGCCAAATCGAGAAGTTCACTAACCATAAGAATACCGTCCATAATATTCCTATTTTTAATGAACGTGGATCGCTTGACCAAAATAAGCTTCCATATGACTCTCTTGATTCTAGAAGTCAAAAGCTTTGAGATAATCTTGTAAAGGCTACCCACAAGACATATAGGTCTATACTCTGAGAGAAATTATGGATTCGCCACCTTTGGAATTAAAGCTATAAACGAAGAAGTGCATGCCTTGGTAAGGATAGCCTTTGATTGGAAGTCTCCAACAAACCGCAAAACGTCCTCCTTCACCACTCCCTTATTCTTTTTAAAGAAATCCAACGTAATACCCATCAAGCTCGGGTGTTTTATTCCTATCACAACTCCAAACCGCACGTCTTTTATCTCCAACTCCGAAAAAGGTTCCTCCAACCCCAATGTCTCGCTTCTTCCAACCTACTATAACTTAAACCTTCCGGGATAGGCCTATTGAAATTTGATTCCTTAAAAAATCCTCAAAGTGCCTTTTTATTTCAACTTTAACCTCCTTCACACCTTCTATCCTTCCCCCAAGATGTTTCCACCAAAGTGATCGCATTTTTTCTAATTCTCTCTTAAAGAGAGTTGTGAAAAAATCTAGTATTCATATCACCTTCCTCTAACCACTTTTGACCCGACTTCAATCTAAGCATGCTTTCCTTCATATAAAGATAACTCATAATTTCTTCACTAGCCAATCTTCTATCCTCTATTTCCTTCGCCACCAAACCATCAATATTATTAATCAAGAAGCAATCTAATTCACTTAACTCATCTACTTTATTCTCCACTTTCAAATCAATCTGCCCAAATATCTCCTTGTTCCACCACCTCAACCTCTCTTTGAGCCTCTTAAGCTTCTCGTACAAGCTATAATCCCCTCTTCCCATAATGATTATTCGGTTCCATTCATCCTCCACAAATTTAATAAAGCCCTCATGATTGAACCAACAATTATTGAATCTAAGTGATTTTAGATCCCCCAATCACACCCTCCTGATTTCAACCAAATTGGGTAGAGATCCGGTAACTCCCTCCTACCCACCATTTGGCCCTTCACCTTCCAGTCAGTGACAAGTTTATCAGTTAGTAGGAATCTATCTAATCTACTCATGGATTTTCCATTCCCTCCAAACCATGTAAACTTTCCCCCACCAACGGAAGATCAATAATGTCCATTTCTTCTACAAACTCCATGAACTCCTCTTTGCCTTTATCTCTATCCTCCGAGCCCAACCCAATTATTTCCTCCTTAAAAAGAACCGAGTTGAAATCTCCACCTAAACACCATTCCTCCCCCACCGAATTACTCCTCATCTTCAGAATATTGGCCCATGTAGTTCTTCTTGTCACATAGTTACAAGAGGCATACACATTGACAAAATTATAATAGATACTTTTCCACTCATCTTTAATTCCTACGTACCCTTCTCCTTTGTAGCTATTAATAGGGTTTAGACCGTTCCTCCGCCACAAGGTAATCATACCACCTGACACCCCTATTGAGTCGCTATGAGTCCATTCCACCTCTTTGGATCTCGGAAATTCCTCTACCATCTTAACATTGAACTCAACAAGTTTTGTTTCCTGTAAAAAACAGACACCAACCTTACCCGATTGAATCATGAAACCGATCCTCTTTCTCTTTATTTTGCTGCCACCTCCCCTAATATTCAGAGTAACTATAATCATCACTTTGATTCAAAGTCCGCCTTCCTTGCCGCCATTCCTTCCTTCTCTCTAATCTCCATACCTTTTATCTCCTTAATCAGCTTATCATCACTGTCGGCATACGTTATGTCCAGCTTGACAAAAGAATCACGAACAAATCCGCTAATAGTTGATTCTGAGTTCTTCTCGAGTCTCGAATTGCAGTGTCCTATGTCGGAATCTGTCATTGATTCGCATCTAAACAGGAACACTCGAGCCCTCTTCAATTTCTATGTCTTCTAATTTAAGATCATAACCTTTAACATAGACTATGGGTTTAGAATTAAGACAATCATAAAAAGACGGTTTGAAAAGAGACCATTCCCCCATGTCTTTGACTTCTCTCAATTTCTTTTTCTTTTTATATTTTAAAACTTTTACAAGTAAGCAAGCCTCATCAAAAGTAATGGGCCCAAATGTATTTTAGCCCAACAACTTAAGTCCAACAACTTCCTCATTAAACAAAGGTTAAGGTTCCCGAGACCCGTTTTTCAGTGCACCGAATTGTTATTGCTTAGTAATGAGCAAATGAGCAAATGGTCTATTTTAATCGGTGCACTGGAAATACCAAGTACACTGAATTGCTTAGTAATTAAGTAAGCATTAGTGAGCAAAGGTTGAGAGTTAGTTAGGAACTCTAACTAACTTCTGAAGTGTAACAAATTCTTCCCTTGCATGGCTGCTATATAGGTTCCATATGCAAGCTTCACTGATTCAAGATAATGAACATAGTTCAAATATGAGTTCCATCTCTAATAAATTAATACATTGTCCCTAAAAATCTAAGACAATTCTGTTTAACAAAATATTAGTTGAACTATTTGATGGTTCTTACGTTTCCTACATTTAAACATTTTTTGTCCTCTAATGAAATGAATTTGCCCCACAAGAAAACCTCAAATAATCATAGTCTTTTCAATTAACGCGTCCCACACCAGCAAACAAAGTAGACTAAAAGACAATAAATTAACGTCGACTAACCAAAACTATAATATAATTAAATAAAAAGTTAAGATATAGTCAAAAGAAGAAGCACGTACTTGCATGGTAGAAAAGTCCAAATAATACGTCGCATTCTGCTAAGATAAGCTAGCTGGCATAGCAGTATGGTAGGGTAGTAAGATAAGAATCAAAATCATACTTTTGCAATTTGCATGCATTTCTCTTTCTCTTCTTTGCAACATGTACGTACGCATTATTAATTGTCTCTGATATATTCCAAGGTCTAACACTTAGAAAATTAATTAGTATCTATAGAAATTTGAAATACTAACTTCAACAGCCATTGATTTTGTCTTTGAAAAATAAAAGTTATCATTACTCTTAAGTATATTGAATTAGTGATGGTTATTTATATAACACTAGTTGAGGTTCAGTTAGAAGATGTTTTTTTTTTTTGGGAAAGATGTCTTAAACATTGTGTTACACATATGCGCATTTGTGATGAAATTAATTTGGAGTTTGATGAAGAAATGTTGGATTTTTTCACCTAACATATTGTAAGTACATAATAATAACAATTAAAAAATCTTTATATTATAGTCTCACAAAATAAATCGATTAAAATAGACTATTTGCTCATTGGTTAAAACTAAGGGTTGTTAACTAATAACTAAAAAAATTTGTTATTGATCAATTAATTCTTAAATGAATCTAACTATTTTCATGTAGTACTTAGTATTTCTAATCATGAAAAACGATATCAACCTAACAAATCATAGAAAATTAAATAAAAATGATATATTTGTGAGATTAATTATACATTTAACCAATAACATATACGAGTAGGACTGATAATGAATCAAATTAATTTTAAAATAGTTTAAAATTTGATTCAAAAATTAAATTGTTGAACTAGGTTCATAAATCAAATGAACTGAATATAAGCTAAAAACTAAATTCGTTAATTAAATGAGTTGAATTTGAACTATATATAATTCGACTCGTTAGGTTCATGAGTCAATTCGATTATATGTGAGATAGATTATATTGTCTTTAAGAGTAGGTTTAAAGATTCACTCTAAATCTTAATCTCATATTTTCTTTTAATGTAACATTTTTAATTGATAATTTATATTTTCAAGTGAGCAAAATATTTCTATAAATAATTATACAAATAAAATTAACATCGTATAAATTTCAATCTTATAATTTTTATTTTATTTCTATATTTTTTATTTAAAAATATTAATTTAAAATATCAAATATATATATATAGAAAAATATACTTTAAAAAATTACTTTTAAATCTGTGAAATTAGCGAGTTGAATCTAACAAGATAAATCTAACGAGTTGAACCGAGATGTTCGTGAACCTAACAATTCGAGTTTGAGTTGAAAAAAAAAAGTTTGTGATGAACTCAAACTCAGCCAATTCTTAACGAGTCGAGTTTGAGCTGGAAAAAAAATTAATCATAAACTTGAATTTAGTTAGTTTTTAACGAATTGAACTGAGTTGAAGTGAGTTCGACTTGACTCGTCTCATTTTCAGTCTTATATATGAGTAAAATTTAAAAATGTTTTTACATAGATATAGAGGGGAAAAATCATTTTTAAATATATAAAAAAGTTGGAAAAATATTATTTAGTGTTTACAATCAAGACTATGCAAGTGATAGAAATATTTTGATTGATCAACCTATAGACTTGACTTTTTATTTTTATAAATTTATAAGATTTAATTATTTTATTTAATTACTTATAGAATTATTTTGTGTATCATATTAATTATTTTTGTCTCATTAGTAATAGTAAAATTTTAAAATTGTCGTTAAATTTGTGCTAATTAAACAAAAAGTTTAACATGATATATTTTGAAAAGTTAATAAATTAATATGATTGTTATTTCCATTGTTACGGTTATGGGTACGGTTTTTATAGGTAGTGAAATTTACGGGGTGATGTATCTTTTTTTGTTTGTTTTGAAAAAGCACAAGTTGATCTGTTTGAATGGTTTTGGAGGGTTGATTTGTTTTTATCGACAGTTTAGATGGAATGTGAGAATTGGCATGGATCGATGACGTGGATGAGGTGGACCAATAGTGATTTTGCTTGAAGTTTGATGTGAAGAAGTGGAATGTGTTTGTTGTAAGGATTAAATTATCCTCATATTGGTAATAATTGTTTTATGCACTATTAGTAACAATAATTCAAAAAATAATCTTAAATTATATTTTGAGGAGTCTTCCTTGAAAGTTTCTCTCAAAGTTAAGTTTGATGTTTTAACATGGTGGATGGGGAATGAAATCAAGTATCATGTTTTTAGTAAGTTGGTAAAGAATATCTCAACCGTTTCAGTTACTATAGTTGTTTCAGAAGTAATTTTTAGTGCTGACAAAAGGTTATTGATTTGAAACAAACATCAATGAAAATTAAGACGATTGAAATGGTACTTTGTGGGGGTGATTGGATGAAAGAGAAGTATGAGATTAAGAAGAACTGCACTGCTTCTGTTGTAAGTAAATTTTTATTTTGTATTTAATTTTATTCTGTCTATATGTTAATATGTTATCTTACTACATGTTTTTTATTTGTAGCTTGAGGTACCACAAGATGAACCTTTGACATATCATTTTGGTGAAGATCCAAGTGTCGCTGCTTCGACAAATGCAAGTTGATGGATTTTATTCTTAATGCCAATGACGAGTTTGTTCTTAAGCATCATTTATATGTAATGGTATTTTGACTCTAATAATCCATCTTAAATCATCATCCTCATTAAAATTCATGTCAACTATCTAGTTCACAAGTTTCAATCTAGTTCCGTACTTTCTTTAACATCCACCATAAAACCATTGTTCACTTGATATTCTCAATCTTTCACTTTGCAACGTTAATTCGCATATAACTCTTACTCCGACTTGTTCAATACGTCTCAACTCTTTCTTAGCCACTCTTCACACAAATTGGTGAGCGACTACCTCATGATATAACATCAACCACTTCACTCACCATTAAGATAGCAAGACAAGTCTATACCATCCAACACGATCTCGTCTACTATCAAAAAGAGATTAAGGGTGATCAGTTCCTCAATTTGTCAACAGATAGCCGACAATCATAATGGAGTATAAACTATTGTTACTAACTATAATAGTGTTCCTTTAGAACTTGTACTCAAGTCACCTTACGCACCATAACCCAATAATTTCCAATGAGGTTTACAAATACTTCCATAATATCCCTCTCATTCGATCTTATTTGTGAGACACCAACGCTCAACATATTACACAGTCCACATTACACTCACTTAGCCTTACTCGAAGGTTAAGCATTCTCTAACTCAAGAATTACTTTCTTCATCTACGCATCATCAGGAATACAAGTTCGATTACTGAATTTCAACACATCCTGCACATCTGACTTGAAATCATCATTCTCAGGTTGATCGAGTTCAACCATCGAATCTACCAATTTCACATTTAACTTTTGGGCTTCTTTTATACTGTCCAGAAAATCACTTATAATTTCCAACATTCCTAACATAACACTCTACGGTGCCACCATGCAAACTAAACTCATATCTCTGAACTGTTCAATTAATCCCAACCCTTTAACCATCATTACCGACATGTGAAAAGTCCTTTGGCTTAAAGCATCTGCCACAATGTTAGCTTTACCTGGATGATAATTCAAACTAAAATTATAATCTTTGAACAACTCCAACCATCTTCGTTGTCTAATATCCAATTGAAATCTCAACAACGTTGTTCCACACCGTTTTGGGAATAAAACCTCTCCAAATCTTCTTTTACACATGCCACTACTTTGACATCATAAACACGACTCTAATTCCCCTTAAAAGCATCTTCCTCTAAAAGGACATATTCTCTTCATAAAATGCATCTCTATGCGCTCCTCCAATACTTTCACATCCTTTTTAATGTCGAACATCTCATTTCTCAACTTATTTGCCAACAACATATTACGCTTGACCTCGTCTCGAACAAATGAAATAATAACTATTTATGCCCAAAAAACCTCTAGTTTCATAAATGAATTCAGAGTCCCTCCATATAGGAATGCATCTACCATATTTGAAAACACTTCATAGGATAAAATACATTTCTATCTCCTCACAGGTTCAAACGGAACACAAATCCGATACTCGGAACACAAGATATGAATTTCCAAAGTTATTTGAAAATGCAAACACCGACGTCATACACCGACATACTATCACATACCT